GCAAGCCAATTCGACGAGGCTATTTTGAGGGAGGAGAGTTGTGGTGATTCGGATCTACGATCCCTACAGTGCAAGTGTGCGGCTAATTTAGCTCGACACGAACTTTTCAGGCTGTGCGCTGTAGTAAGTTGCAGAAGACTCGAGGTTTTTGTACTGTTGTACAAAACCATAGTGCTTCCACATTTAGAATATTGCGTACAGGCATGGGAGCCTTATTTTAAGCGGGACGAACGCTGTCTTGAGAAAGTACAGCGCTTAGCAACCAGAATGGTAGCAGACCAGAAAGATAAGGAATACCTCCAACGACTGTGGGACCTGGACCTTTTCTCTCTGGCCCGCAGAGGCATGCGAGGCGACCTTGTAGAGACATTTAAGATTGTCAAAGGGCTTTCGGGTCTAAGGTTCCAAAACATATTCTCGTTTGCTCCTGCCAGGGGCACGAGGGGCCATCAACTTAGATNTACCTGAAGCAGTGGTTAACTGTATTATTGTCGAATCTTTCAAGAGAAGGCTGGATGAATGCTGGGCAGTGGTATTTCCCGAAGTTGAGTGTTGAAAGTTAATCGTTAGGCTTTACTTTCCGAAATACTATAAGGGATCTGATACTGCACACTAACATTCTGCCTTTCAGAAACTACTATTGACTCGAAGTGTTGGAAGCCAACGAAACCGCCGACAACACAAGGAACTGGACGCGCGATTGGCAAGAGCCACAATTCGTCCTGTGAGAACTGAACTGAATATTTAAATGGAATCGAAATAATAGGGGATGAGGTATTCCATCAGAGCACTAAGTTAGAGAATGTTGCTTTTCGCCATCCAGCCCCTGGTCTTGAACTAAAGTTTCAATGCAAGCTGAAGTGAACAGTTTGTTTAGCTATTTCAATGCACATCGAATAATAAACGCGCGGATTTAACCGGACTTCACATATATCGCGTTGTGGTGCACGGTATCAACGCCCTTCCTCTTTTAATACGCCGTGAATGTCCACGCAAAATGAAATGTGAATTATTTACGATTTTGATCTTTTGTTGTGAGTAACTTAAGGATAAACTATTTTTATTATAGCAGGTATTGGATGTATTACTGGCACACATTTTTTTGCATCTCCGAATCAGTCTGGTGAACCTTTTTTCTATGGCTATCTTTGGAAAGATTCGAGTACAGTTCACTTGAGGCCTGCATTGCAAGCGGTCGCAGATGATCATAACGGTAAAAAGGGTGAGGTTATTTTGAAACCGCTGTATATATCTCGCTTGTAGGCGAAATATGTGGAATTGTTCCCCATGGATTCATCGAAGATGATCTTCCGTTTAAGATCGAGGTTCTTGATAGAAAAACTGGCATAGCTGAGATTAAACTGAAGAAGAACTCAAATATCCGATTCGAAGAAGAATCAACGATTGGATTTGAAGTTGAGGCCTATGACTGCCAAGAACCCCCAAACTTTTCTAAAAGGTAATCTGTTGTAACCTAGAGTTTCCAGCTTCTAGAACTATAGCAGAAATTTCTATCCCCTAACTCAGTTAAAACTATTTAATTTTCATAATACCAAACAACCACCCGTATTTGAAGTCGATTAGGTATTTTGAAATCTTTGTTTTCAAGAACGGCTTATTCGGCTACACGAAATATTTTTCATTCCTAGTATTGGAATCTTTCTATAAATTTTGAGATTCGGAGCTAATACCCAGTCTGCACAGCCGTCCCATTAGTGTCCTATTCTAGTCCCATCCGAGTCCCATGGGAGTCTTATTGGAGTTCGTTTGCATCTGAAATGGGACTCAGATAGGACTCTATGGGACAGCTCTTCAAAGGACTGTTTGACATTTCAATGTGCGAAGGTTACATTTCTCTACTCTTTCGCAGGATTACTTAACGTTAAGATACATCAACGTATTTGTAATCCATCCCGAAGATAGCGACTCACGAATCGTTTCAATCGAGAAATATCAAAACACATAGATGATATTCATAACTGCAACCACACTATATGAATATAAAAGGTAACACCAAAGGCATAAAGGAATTTGTATTTGAACCAAGAAATGGTACAAAAAGTCTCACGAGTTAGCAATCCCATAAAATTTCGGGGTAGTTTTTCTTGTTGGAATCCCTTCGGTGATTCTTTTTTATGGCGTTCTGAATCCATCTTTAGATTTGTTCAAGTACTTTGATATGAGTTTCTAGCCGTAACGCATTTTCCATGGTACATGTATGTGCATTATTATATAATACGATACACTTGCCGTGACATTTGCAGTTGGTACACATTTTAGATCGCTAACATGCATTTCAGCCGCACATTTGGCAGCGTAAAAAATAATTTATACCACAAAAGTATTAGACATATAGCCATCATAATCCTCCGCAGGTTACATTTCACAACTGCTAGTGTTTGTAGACACCGAAGCATATTCCAAGGAGACTAATTTTGAATACCGTACGAAATATTAAACATTGGATCTGAATGATTCATGGATGATCCATTTTCTGAAATTAGTTAATTTAAAAATAGCGCGAGGTGATTTCACCGGTACTTAATTGCGCAAATTAATCGATTTTTAGCATTGAATGTTTCATTCGATGAATTTATTTGGGTCAGTTGTTGTATTACTTCTAAAGCGTTTACGCATAGTCCAGGTGTTACTCCAATGGGACTCAAATAGGAAGGTCAACAGTCCCGCTGTGCGGACAGAGTAGCGGGGGTCAATGTTTTATAATGTATTTAGTATCATAAGGACTTGCGTTATATAATAAGTTGCTTTGATATTCTAACCTGAATGCAACAAGCGCCACGTTATTCAACTTATCTTTAATTCAGTTCGTAGAGAGTAAAAGTAGAACGATATGGATGTGATTTAAACGTTTTAAACGTTTGCAAAATCATAAGTTACTTCAATAATTTCCTAAAAATAATTAAATTTGACTTCAGTCTTGAAGGCAGAAGGCTATGTACATGTGTAGGCCCCGTCAACAATGAATCGAAAGTCGGATCACATGTTCTCATCCAGACACTGCTTTTAAGCACATTCGCTGGAGGGGAATTTCAGAGCGTTGATGACCTGCGTGGCAGTCAGTAGACTAACGAAAGGCCAATCGACTTAAGTTTTATGAAGAACGAGAGGGTGACCCTGCGTGCGTTCCTCTGTCCTTAGTGGAAAATGCTGCTGTAACTCTGATCCCATATAACACAAAATCTTCATCAGGCAGACCATATCTCTCCTGATGCACCGATAAGTGACTAGGCATAAACCAGTAGTATGTACACGACCTAGATATCTAGTCCCACCTGTTCCAACAACGAGCTTGATGACAGCATGTTGTACACGCTCCAACTTAACCAGTTCGCCAGCCGTGCAGGAGTACGTTACAGCAATATGATTCTCAAACCTGGGTCCAAGGTGTGAACCATACAACATTCTAAAAGGTTAATGTTTCCTGGCTAACTTCTTTAGCATTTTTTCGCGCTATTAAACAAATGCGAGAAATTTCGTAACTTAAGTATCAATCCTGAAAACATGTTTACTCAGCAATGGAACAGTTTGATTTATTAATCATTTTAATTTCTCTCTCAATTACATCTTAACTTATTTTCCATTAAAGACAGCAGATATAATCGAATCGTAAAGCAATGTATGGATTCCTCGAAACGAGGGGTGATTGCGTATCACAAACCTTCAGGAACTCGACCAAACCATGCACGGTTCTTAATCGTCTTCCTCTTTATTTCTTTGGTTCTATTCTTTCTTAACGTCAATGGCACAGTAATTAGGTCCACAAGCAAAAGAAAAAATAGTATAAAGACTGAAATCGTTTCTGTTTCCCTCTGAAAGTATTACAAATATAAGATAAAAGCTTTTTCAGCAGATAAATATTCGGTAAAATAGCATAGCACAGTTTCGTCATACAAATATCTTGCCATGATTTTAGACCTTTGCTTTGTTGCAATTATTAGAAAGAATAATAGAATAATAGGAAATAAATGGCATGGGAGCATGTAAAATGTTTGCTCTTTTACTCCATATTCATGCTCCAGAGAAAGGGAGTGAATAACTGCAGAAGCTGTCAGACACTTTAAAGCAAAACCTTATTTTTGTTAAATTTTGATGGATGATGTACCTTTATGGCTTGAATTCTGTTTAAGTAGACTCTTTAAATGATTTTATAATAAAATAGATGTGCCTTAACCCGTAGTGTTCTAAAACTATATTTGGCTAAATAACTTCCATAAAAGACTCCAACTTTTGAAGCTCCATATCTATAGATCATTTAAAAATCCTTTAATTTACCCAATTGAAAGGGATAAAATACAGAGACCCACGATTCACTCCAATCAGTTAGCAGGGGAAATATTACACTGCTGAAAGTTTCAAATGTCCCCTTGTCATATGGCATTGCATTTTTTCTATTGCACTTATTGTTATAGTGTAACAACAACTAACTGAGTTGCATACACCTTTGTGATGACGTTCTTCGTAAACAGTGGGGCTCGAATACTCTTGCAACATTAGTCTTCAGGAGTTCTCTGTTTTTACTCGGAAACTGATTGTAGCCTACCAAACTTCCTTTTAGTCTTCTAATCGAACGAGCAATCATGAGACAGCTTCCAAAACCTGCGTACGAAAGTGCATGGCCAGCGGTTGTAAAAACTGAACTGAACTGAATCTAATGAAACAAGAAAGGTTTGTTAGATTTTTGGAGAGTGATGTATGCTTCTTTTGGTGTACAGTCACTGAATAACAAAACATTTGACGACTGTTTTGTGATACTTGATTTTATATGACAGAAATCTCGATACTGCATGATGCTAAAATACCGATCCAGTTTGGTAATCGTTTTTAAATGTTGAATCAGCAGCCGGGACGACATCCGCCTTTCAGGTGTTTACAAACGTAGTGTTCATAAAAAGTAGGAAAATTGAATACGATCATAAATGGTGTTTATTCAATGTCCACAGAAAGTTTTAGTAAATATGGTCCACTATGAAGTATTTATTTTTCTTTGATATTAGCTGTTAGTATTATTCAAATATCGTTAGTGAAAACACTTTTTATAATAAATCTATTCATTTTTATTACAATTTATGAAATTTTTAGCCTCATTGTTATATTGAGTAACAGGATATGTGACAATGCACTAGGTGGATAAATGAAAAAAATTATGGAATGATTCTTCATTAAATTTAGTAATACTGGGGTGTCGAAGAACACCTAAAATGAGACGGTTTATGCTCAGTTTCATCCTTAGCTGGTTAATATCTTAGAGCAAATGTCAACAGTTCCTTAAATGAAGTTAAAGTTCTCTGGCAAAATAGCAGTTTTATTGATATACATTGTGATAATAAAATAACGCATAAACAGTATTTATGATACAAAATGGACTGCAAAATTTCTTCTGCAATTTAATAAATGCGATAACTCATCTATCCAGCCGATATGAAGTTGCATTCATTGCTTCATTGTTTGAAGGAATAGAATCTAAGTGTTAAATACCATTTTGCATTATTTGAAAAATAATTTATTTTAAATGGAATGACAATTAGACGGTTTATATCACTCCTTTACACGAGAGTCCATCACAGTTTGGAGCATTTCAGAATGAAATGAAACTTATAAACTGTTTATTTATTATACAGAAACTAGTTTTGTAAAAGGTACATTTTGAGCTTCATGAACTGTAAGAGATATAACCGGTGGTATGCTGTCACACAACTAAAATGGGGGTAACGTCATTGGAAAAATAAATTAATTGTTTCAAAATTGCCATCAAACGAAAAAACTAAAGGTTGATCTATAAAAAGGCGTTTGTATGTCGGGGTTGATGACTCTGTAACCACGCGCAAAACTAATCCATTTGATTACAATCCGGTGATGAAAATGGCTTGGGTTACAAGAGTATTACTTTGTAGGTTAGTTGATCAAAGGCTGTTACTACGATGATCTTTAATCTTCGTTCCATATTACAGACTTTGAATTGGATGCTTTCACTCCATAAACTTTGTTGTCTCATTGATTAAATTAACTGAAATTACACTTATTAAACGCATTGTTTTGGTGAAAGCTATCAAAAGTGAAAGTTGTATTTACCAGTGATTTCGATGATTTGGTGATCTTTTCAATGGCTATGAGCTTCTACTGAGGTCCAAGTTATTCTGTCTAAACTGAATAATGGAATGTTTGCAATATTATTTTGGTATCCGTTTGTTCTCCGTTGAAGGAACTGAATATCTTGTATCCCTTTTTCAACTAGATACGTCTTCACCATTAGAAATAATTTGAGAGTATTCGACTGACATTCAAGACTTTTTATTACTCAGTTTATTTTAGCTCATGATTATTCTTCTGTATAGACGATTGACTAGTTTTTGCACACAGTCCCACACTTATAATGATGATTAGTAGACCCGTATTAAGCGGTGGACTAATAATTTAATTTCTCGGTATTTAAATGAAGGC